GGGGGGGGGGGAACTGACATCGCCATCAACAACTCAGAAGCTTTATGTATATCTAAAAATGGTGGTTTTGATTAAGTGGGTCATCAACATCGCCACCAAAAGAAAGATAAAAGCCAGAGAGTTTCAGCAAAGTAAAACTTAAAAAATGGTGGAACACTGAAACGAAGAAGGGCATTGAAACAAGCATTTGATATAATAAAGGGCATGTTCTGCACGATCTTCCTCAATCTTTGGACGGGTAGGCCTTGATTTCTTCCTTCTTGTAAAGTTTCTAAACCAAAAAAAAAAATCTATGTTTTGGTGAGAGAAATGGACGGGTAGGCCTTGAGAGAGAGAGAGAGGAGAGAGAAATGGACGTTTTGGTGGACGCTTCGTTTGTGTGAGACTAATGTGCAACTGTCATGAGCTCACGTGATCTTCTTTCCTTTTCATTCTGCCATTTCTGATTCTCACTTTTTCTTTACTGTGAGGAGGAATTTCAGACGCCATTGAAGGAGAAGCTTGTTTTCTTCTCTTCTCTGAAGAACAGAGGCCTAACACTAACAGTGAGTTTTCTGTTTTACCAACTGGAAAGAGAGAAGTTGCTTAGAATCTTGTCATGTAATGATGAGGGCCCATCATCTCCATTCTGCATTTATGAGCCCCTTTGCCAAAATATCCGTAATATACAAAAACTACTCTGTTTTTGAGTTTTAATGGCGGTCCTGATATAGATATCAAGTGGGTTTACTGAAAAGTGAGGGATATAACTGATATAACTTTTCTTTTCGCATCTTATCTCCATTTGCAGATGAATGAGGGGTTTTCTGTAAGCTCTTTTTTCTTCTTTTTCCTTTGAATTTCATTTAGATCTACAGCTAACTGAGCCCCACATCAGGATTTAGCTTGAAGATCGAGATAAAGAAGCTATGGATCTTGAGCATGGAAACTGTTGGGACACTGACAAGGTTTGTGTTCAATCGACTCACTGTGCTTCAACTTCACTTTTTTTCTTAATTTCTAGAAACACCCAGTTGTTGAATCGGCTCTAATTTTGGGTTTTTCTTTCACAAGGGTTCTTGGAAAACGGTTCTTGTATTGGCCTATCAAAGTCTTGGCGTCGTCTATGGCGATTTGAGCATCTCTCCGCTCTACGTTTACAGAAGCACTTTTGCTGAAGACATCCAACATTCAGAGACCAATGAAGAAATCTATGGTGTTCTGTCATTTGTCTTCTGGACTCTCACTATTGTCCCCCTTTTCAAATACGTCTTCGTAGTTCTCAGAGCGGATGACAATGGCGAAGGTAAGAAGAAGAAGAAGCAGATGTGCTTAGAATTGAAAAAGAACCAATACCCAGATGATGAATTGCTTTCAAATCGCCATTGCAGGTGGGACTTTTGCTCTGTACTCGTTAATTTGCAGACATGCCAAAGTGAGCCTTCTTCCCAACAGACAAGTTGCAGATGAAGCACTTTCCACTTATTTACTTGAACATCCACCGGAGAAGAAGAAGCAATCGAAGGTTAAATTGCTGCTGGAGAAGCACAGTGCTCTGCACACTGCCTTGTTGATTCTTGTTCTTGTTGGGACTTGTATGGTGATTGGAGATGGGCTTCTCACTCCAGCCATTTCTGGTACTGTTTTTCATCTTCTTCTTTTTCCATTTTCTTTCAGTCCATTCAAGCATTTGATTGTTTTGGTTTTTGTTTTGTCCAGTTTTCTCAGCTGTTTCTGGACTTGAGTTATCCATGACCAAGGCTCACCATCAGTGTAAGCACCTTGATTTTGAGAAAATGAGTTTAAGCTTAGTGTCCTACTGAAGATTTAACATCCTATTAGCAATCATCAGTGGAACAAGAGACCAAACATGTCAAAGAAAAACAAAAGACCAAACATCGAGGACTATGATTGTTTTGGTGTACCTCTGACCATATTTGTAGATTTTGTAGGAATGTTGGACTTTGTCAAATAACATTAGGACAAACTGTTCATGGACTTGGTCAAATGACATTAGGACAAGCTGTTCATAAAATCTACGAGTGTATTAATCCATGAGCTATACATGTTAACATGTTTAACATTACATATTATATAGCTCAATACAAGCTATATAGCTAAAATCAGGAGGTTACCTTTGTGCAGATGCAGTGGTTCCAATCACATGCTTTATCTTGGTTTGTTTATTTGCACTTCAACACTATGGCACGCATCGTGTTGGCTTCTTCTTCGCTCCCGTTGTATTGATATGGCTACTCTGCATCAGTACCCTTGGCATATACAATATTATACAATGGAATCCACATGTTTATCAGGCTCTTTCACCGTATTACATGTTCAAGTTTTTGGAGAAGACAAGGAAGAGCGGTTGGATGTCGTTGGGCGGAATATTGTTGTGCATAACAGGTAAGATTAATACATAGAATGCTTATGAGGTTTTGCAGGCTTATCACTGGTTTCCTGTGCTGGAAAGAATTGCAGGCTCAGAAGCAATGTTTGCTGATCTTGGTCACTTCTCATACACTGCAATACAGGTTATTCAATTTTCAATGGTTTCTTAAGTTTTAACTTCCCTTTTAAGTTGATTCAAAACATGGATAGAAATCATTTTCATAAACAAATAGACTGACAATCCTGCTCTGTCCTGTCTGCCTCACCTCCCTTCAGATTGCTTTCACCTTTCTGGTGTATCCAGCGCTCATATTGGCATACATGGGCCAAGCTGCTTACTTATCTCAACATCACACCACCACCAACAATATTGGCTTCTACGATTCTGTTCCAGGTATCAATCGCTGATAAAAGAATCTCCAAGCTATCATTCTAGATGTTGTGTGATGTTCTTCAACTGTTTCGATTTGTTGCGTGCTATTTTTACGAGACTACTGATAATGGCTTTTGGAAACAGAGAGTGTGAGATGGCCGGTGCTTATAATTGCTATACTTGCATCAGTTGTCGGAAGCCAAGCAATCATCAGTGGAACATTCTCCATTATTAACCAGAGCCAGTCCCTTGGCTGCTTCCCTAAGGTGAAGGTTGTTCATACTTCTGATAAGATCCATGGCCAAATCTACATTCCGGAGATCAATTGGGCTCTTATGATTCTCTGTGTTGCTGTTACCATTGGATTTAGAGACATAAAACACCTCGGAAATGCATCGGGTGAGTTAGTCGCTATCCATACTTCATTTCCAGACGTCTTAAGCTCGGTTTTGCTCACTTGAAATACAAATATTCCATTCCTAACAATCTTGTTTGCAAACTTTCCACACCGATGCCGTAATTACCAAGTGTTGCAGACTCTTGCTCCAGTCTTCCTGATTGCCTATGATAAATATTAGCTTGCTTCAAAGTTTAAAAAGGATGTTCGAAACCATCAAGAACTGATAGCAGTTGGTCACTTATTTTTACTTTGCAGGTCTAGCTGTAATGACTGTGATGCTTGTGACAACTTGTCTTACATCTTTAGTGATTGTTCTCTGTTGGAACAAAACTCCACTTTTGGCTCTCTCCTTTTTGATCTTCTTTGGGTCTGTTGAATTGCTCTACTTCTCAGCTTCACTCACCAAGTTCAGGGAGGGCGCTTGGCTCCCCATTCTTTTAGCTCTGTTCCTCATGACCATTATGTTTGTTTGGCACTATGCAACCATCAAGAAGTATGAATATGATCTGCACAACAAGGTTTCATTAGAATGGTTGCTAGCATTGGGACCAAGCCTCGGGATTGCTCGTGTCCCTGGCATCGGATTAGTCTTCACTGATCTCACCTCTGGTATTCCTGCCAACTTCTCCCGGTTCGTCACTAACCTCCCAGCATTTCATCGCATCCTTGTCTTTGTGTGTATAAAGTCGGTACCAGTTCCTTTTGTACCTCCTGCTGAGCGGTATCTTGTTGGACGAGTAGGCCCAGCAGCACATCGGTCATACCGGTGCATTGTTCGATATGGCTACCGCGATAATCACCAGGATGTGGATTCGTTTGAATCTGAATTAGTCAAGAAACTGGCAGACTTTATCAGCTATGACTGGTACAGAAAACAAAGAGGCAACTCTAGCAGTGAGGACGATGCATCACGTTCAAATGAATCAACAAGTGAGCGTAGGCTGGCTGTGATTGGAACCGTAGCATTTGCAGGCGCATCTGCTTATGAGGAGACTATGCAGCCTGCAAGCGGATCAGTCGGATTCCAAACTGTCGACAGCATCACTGATGTGATCGAAATGGAGCCACTGGGAGAAAAAAAGAGAGTCAGGTTTGCTATAGACGATGATTTTGAAGGTGACTCCCAAGCTGAAACAGAAGCCCTTCTGCATGAAGAGCTAGAAGATCTTGTAGCAGCCCAGCAATCAGGGACGGCGTTCATTCTCGGGCATTCACATGTCCGAGCTAAACAGGGATCGTCTCTGTTGAAGAGACTGGCTATTAACTATGGCTATAACTTTCTGAGAAGGAACTGCAGAGGCGCAGACGTTGCTCTTAAGGTGCCACCAGTGTCTCTTCTTGAAGTTGGCATGGTTTATGTTGTATAACCCTCAACTGTTCTTTCTGTTCTCTGTCTGCTCATTTTGTAAAGATACTGCTTCCTTGAATTAAAGCTAAGTATTCGACCATGTAATTCTCTTACAAACCCAGATGAATTATCTTCTCTTAAACCTAAAATCGATGCTAATTCCGATATGTGATGCTAAATCGAAATTAAATCGAAATTAAGCCTCATAGAAATTGTGTTAATTTCCATGTCCTTTCGAGTCTCGTTTGGATGGTATCCCTACACAAACATCTCTTTTGGATGGTATCCCTACACAAACATGTGGATCCAAGATTCACGCTCCCACCACAATAACAGCCATAACTTAACTACTAAACAAATTCCTAAGATTCATAACCAAGTGGCCCTACAAATGGCCCTAGAAAAGAAAGAGTGGCATTCTCAACAGATAATTGAACGACAAAAAAGAAAACAATAATCAAGTGGCCCTAGAAAACCAAGAGATCAAGAGTATGAAACACAACCACGTAGCACCACAGCAACCACGGCGCCCAATCTCTGCCGACCTCTAATCTCACTGCTTTTCTTTTTTCACTCACTTATAAAACAGAGCGACTCCTCGTCCACAGCGAAATCGTCGAGATCCCCGCCAATTCTTCGAATCTCAGCCTCAACCAAACGACCTAACTGACGGCAACGATGGTGGCGATTTCTCCATCAAACGTCGGATTCACATCACAATTCGGGCAGGGATGGAAGACGGCGAGGGAGATGACTCCCGTCAGAAGCTCGAATCTGAGAGTATCAGCAAAAGCGACGGAGAAGGGCGAGGAAAAAGAAGACGGCAGTGAAAGGAAGAACAAGCAGTCGCTGTTCAGCAGCGTGACGGAGGCGTTGGATTTCTCTCAGGTCCGGTCGAGTCGCGACGCTGAGCTTCTCGAAGACGCCCGTCAGGCCACCAAATCCGGCGGTAGAATGAGCCAGGAACAGGTAAACGTTAGTTACAGTTAATTTATTATTCGATCTAATTAAAAATATAAAATAATTACAAAAAAATAACTTTAAATCCCGTAATTATAATTTTTTATATTTAATAAAATAATTAAAAAACGGTCAAATAGACTAAAAACTTACTTTAACACACAGTTTAATTATTACTTTCACAATTTAACGAAATATATATTTATAAATATTTCAAATAGATTTTTTTTATGATGTAATATTTAAAAAAATAAATTAAAATTTGTAGTGATTTTTTTTATTTATTAGTATGGAGCTCTAAGAAGGAAAATAGGAGGGACTTACAAGGACTTCTTCAAATCCTACATAGAAGGTAAGTAAAAATTTGTGTTTTATTTATTTATTTAAATTCATTATAATTATAAAAATAGGAAAATAAAATTGGGGTTTTGATGAAATTTAGTGGATGGGCAATACGTTGAAGAAGGGTGGGTGGACAAGACATGCAAGGTGTGCAAGAAGGACACAAGGGGCGAGGCAAGACAAGTCGACAAGCTTGGACGATATGCTCATGTTGCTTGTTTGGAAAAATCCAATTCTTCATCGCCCAATTTCTTCACCAAATTCTTCTTCAAATGACTCTGATATCCCGTTTATACATACATCTGAATTTGTGTAGCGTGTATTTAAGTATCTCTCTAGTTAATTTTCACGATGAAATGATTATATTGTTCATTTTCTCTATAACAACATGTGTTTATATTCAAGTTGATAAAAAGGCAGAAAGTCAAACCTTTAACTCAATTGGGTCTAAAAATCGAGCAATTCACTTGTGGGTGGTGTGCGTTTTGCACAAACTATGGAAACCCAAGAAGGCCCAATTGTGTATTTTGTTCGCGTAGAGCCCCACATTAGTTAGTTAAGATGAAAATCATAGGTATATAAATAAAGGACACTGAGACTTTTTTTAAATTATAAGTCAAAGTGGACAATATCATATAATATAGAGGCCGTTGTTTCTCATTATTCCAAATATCAATTATTCAATGGCTCCATACCTAATAACCCTACTCAGCGGTCAAATAATATCGGTAAAGAGTTTCCAAATAATATCGATAGAAGATTGACGAAAGATCAACTTCCAACATTTAATATCGTTGATTTGTCAATGTCTATGAAACTTTATCTTTATGCACCAAATTCAATAAACTATTCTAAAACTCATTGGTATATGAATTTTAATCTTTAAACAACTATTTACCCGTCTTAAAAAAAATTGAAAAGCTACAAAATATGGGTGGGTTTGCTTATGATTTGTTTGATTTAGTTTCTTTTTATAGTCATTTACAAAGAAGAATAGTAGTATTGCACCACCGCTCAGTGTCTTTGATATGAGATCTCATAATCTATTTCGTTAGGGATTAGTGTTCTCATTGGCACATCGTCCATTATCTGCCTCTAATATCGTTTGTAATAATTAAATCCCACCGCTAATATATATTGTCTACTTTATCTCGTTATGTATTGTTTGTGTAATCTTATGAATATGGATAGTAAAAATGTGGGAGAGAGTGGGAGGCATGCGTTCCACAAGTTGGTATGAGCTGACAAATGAGTAGCCATCTTTATGTGCTTGAGGGATAACCCACTACTCACTTTCCAAACTTTTCAATACATTAACATACTTATGTGGGAGAGAGGGCCTGGTGGGATAACTTCTTTTTTAAGGACATTTTCTCATTATTTTATAAACCCAAAACAAATTATTGAATATTTTTTTCTTTTTTGTTGCACTGAATGTGGATTCGATTCAACTGATTAAATGTATCAGCTCAGTTGGAGGTGAATATGACAACACTGGATGTAATATCAACCTCATAATTTTAAAACACTTTTGTTTATAAAAAATGTTTTATTTACTTCTCTAATCGATGTGAGATCTCAATGTTTAGGTACATAATTATTTCGCTGTCTTGTCCTAGCTAAGCTACAACTATTATTTAATGGATTTGTGATTCACTTCGATTATCACTCAAACGTCTCGTCATTTTTTGTTTTTGACCTATTTACTATCTCATCGTGCTTATTCAAGCTTTGATTCATTGGATAGCTTCTAAACGATGAGAACCACTAGTTTAATTAAATCATTTCTAAGATATTTTTTTTAAATTAAAGAAATATTCTCTTCGAAAAAAATAGTGAGGAGATGGGTTTCTTATCAGTAAAAGTGGCATACTTTTTGGTGGATACACTTTTTCTCTTCTTTACTTATTTATTAACATTATCTTGAGCGCTCATCATTAAAGTTGATTTTTATGTTGCATATCTCGAGTTAAACTGAGCCAAAGTCTATATGGTGCGATTGCCTTAGATTGGTTAGACGAGATCGTCTAAATTGGGGTCTAGACCATATAGGTTATCTTGGGTCGGGCCTAAATTGGGGTCTAGACCATATAGGTTATCTTGGGTCGGTTAGACTAGCGTTGTGCTAAAATAAAAGTGGGTTCAAGCTTAAGGGGTCCCGAAGATGGTAACTCCATGAACCAACCACACCACTAATAAATCTGGTAAAAAAACACAGTTTTGAGGTACTGAATACGTGTATCAGCTTATTTATAGCCATTTTGACAGATCTATGAGCACATCCAATGACCTTGATTCTTCTCTTTCTTCTTTCTTCTTTCTCCCTGTTTTGTTTAATCTTAATTTTCTCGAAGCCAAGCTCTTATTGTGCTTGGCTTGGCTTCTCTAATGGAGACCAAAGATGTGACCCAAGATGGGACTGTGGATCTTCGTGGCCAACCTGTTCTTGCTTCCACGACTGGAAAATGGAAAGCCTGTGCTTTTCTCGTAGGTACGAGTCACTGATATTGTTTACTTATTTGAGGTTAAACTCGCGTGAATTTGCTTTTGGTTTAATTTAAAAAGTTTTGGATTTGTTTTTAGGATATGAAGCGTTTGAAAGGATGGCGTTTTATGGTATAGCTTCAAATTTGGTGAATTATTTAACGACCCAACTTCATGAAGACACAGTGTCGTCGGTTAGAAATGTCAATAATTGGTCGGGATCTGTTTGGCTTACTCCCATCCTTGGAGCTTACATAGCTGATTCTTTCCTTGGCCGCTTTTGGACTTTCACCTTCTCATCTCTCATCTATGTCATGGTAAACCTTCCAACTCTAAGCTTTGAACCATCTTCTCGTGTTCAGTCCTATTTAGAGATGTCAATGAGGCAGGGCGAAACCGTCCCTATTTTTTCCTCCTATTTCAATCGTTCATTGAGAATTCTCCCTGAAAAATTTATAGTGATTGGAGTAGGGTGAGGGGGTCAGGGATTTGGACACGGTTTGGGCGGGAAGGGGATGAAGATTATTAGTCCCGGTCTCCGATCCATTTTAGCTAACAGAGAATCGTGACAGTTCTCGATCACAAAAACTATCCTAATAAATTTTAATGTTTTCATTGATCATATACAAATTGGTATCAAAATTAAATTGAGGCATTTATACACAATTTTCTATCAGGGAATGGTGTTTCTGACTATGGCAGTATCAGTAAAGACCTTAAAACCAACGTGCAACAATGGCGTGTGCAGCAAAGCCACGCCCTCACAAATAACCTTCTTCTACATATCTCTATACACCATCGCCCTCGGCGCCGGTGGAACCAAACCAAACATCTCGACCTTCGGTGCCGACCAGTTCGACGACTTCAACCCAGCTGAGAAGCAGATGAAAGTCTCCTTTTTCAACTGGTGGATGTTTAGCTCATTCGTGGGCGCTCTCTTTGCCACCCTCGGCCTCGTCTACATCCAAGAGAACCTCGGCTGGGGCCTCGGCTATGGTATTCCGACCGTTGGCCTTCTCTTTTCTCTCTTCATCTTCTATTTGGGAACTCCCCTTTACCGGCATAAGGTTAGAAAATCTCGGAGTCCCGCCAAGGACTTGATCCGGGTGCCACTCGCAGCGTTTCGGAACAGAAAGCTCCAGCTTCCGGCTAGCCCCAGTGAGCTTTATGAGGTGGAGCTGCAGGGTTACTCCGGCGCCGGAAAAAGGCTGGTCCAGCATACTCCCGTTTTCAGGTACCCTTTCCTTTTTTATCTTCGTCATAAATAATCTACTGGACCCCTACTCGATCCTACGTGCTGTCCATCTTTCGACCTACTACCATTCATAATAGTATGATATTGTCTATTTTGAACAAAAACTTACTTTTGGTTTTCTCAAAATGCCTCATATTAATAGAGGTGTATTTCTTAGGTTTGGTTTAACTGATGTGAGACAACTCTCCCAACAATTTTCAACCATCGTCTCCTTGAATAAAGTACATCATAGAGTCTCTTCTGAGACATAAGAAGCCCTCGAACGCCTCCTCCCCTTAATTGAGACTCAACTCTTTTTTTAGAACCCTCGAACAAAGTACCCCTTTGTTTTGACACATATTTAAAGCTCAAAACTTATTTGTTTAACATTTGAGAATCCTAACTACACAATTAAGTTAAGGGCATGACTCTGATATCATTAGAAATCATGACTCTCTATGATGATATGATATTGTCTACTTTGAGTATAAGATTTCTTGACTTTCAATTTCTTAATTAGTTAATGTGAGACTGCTCTCCTAACAATCCTCGACACGAACCACCCGTTTCGGCTTTCCTCCCACCACTAAGTGGGCAGCATCATGGTGGGCGCACCAAAAGAAAACCCCATATTCAATGATCCCCAGCTATTTTCCCTTTCCATTATGCCGACCCTCCAATATTGTATGAACCCACTTCTAACAAGTTATTGGAACTGCCCTCAGGTTCTTGGACCGAGCTGCAATTAAAGATGCCACAAATTCCTCAAGGCCCAAATGCACAGTGACTCAAGTGGAAGGAACCAAGCTGGTCTTAGGCATGGTCATAATCTGGCTAGCCACCCTTGTCCCAAGCACCATTTGGGCTCAAATCAACACCCTCTTTGTCAAACAAGGCACCACCTTAAACCGAACCCTTTTCCATGCCTTCCCCATCCCAGCAGCCTCCCTCGGCAGCTTTGTCACCCTCTCCATGCTCCTCTCTGTCCCATTGTACGACCGCTACTTCGTCCCATTCATGCGTCGAAAAACCGAAAACCCTCGAGGTATCACTCTACTCCAAAGACTAGGAGTCGGCTTCGTCATCCAAATCATAGCCATTGCTATTGCCTACGCAATCGAGGTTCGAAGGATGCACGTCGTTCGAACCAATCATATTACGCAGCCGAACCAAGTCGTTCCCATGAGCATACTCTGGCTGTTGCCACAATACATCCTCCTCGGCTTCGCTGACGTTTTCATTGCAATTGGGTTGCTCGAGTTTTTCTACGACCAGTCCCCGGAAGACATGCAAAGCCTTGGAACTACGTTCTTCACAAGCGGGATCGGAGTCGGAAACTTCCTCAACAGTTTTCTCGTCACCGTCGTCGATAAACTCACCGGAGAAAACGGCGGGAAGAGTTGGATTGGGAACAACTTGAATGACTCCCATTTGGATTACTACTATGGCTTTCTTTTGGTCATATCTACACTCAATTTGGGGGTGTTTTTGTGGGTGTCAAGTTTGTATATTTACAAGAAGGAAGCCATTGAAGCTAAAGATGGCATTGAATCCAAAGCGTTGGATACATCTCTTGGGCTACAAGTTTGATGGGGGCTAACATTGCTATCAATCTTTGTAACCCATAAAAACTTAGAGTTGGAGATGATTTAGATACAAATAATCAATCAAATTACTCATTAAAAGATGGGAGGTTCATCTTTAATTTCCTCTTTAAAACTAAATTTGTTTTAAGGTTTACGCCGAGTTACAAGCATTTGAATTGTACTAGTAGACATGAGCAGCTCTGTGACGGGGACGTTAGCTAGAAAAAAAAGGGGTGAAAGTGTGAGGTCCCACGTCTGTTGTAGAAAGAAACAAATCATTTTTTACAAGGTGTGAAAACCTCTTTATAACATACACATTTTAAAATCGTGAGATTAACGACCATACATAACGGGTTAAAACGGACGATCTCTATTACCAGTGAGGTTAGATCATTATAAATGATATCATAGTCAGACACCCCGAACAATCTCAATTAAATTGCCTTCTCGACAACATTTTAAATTATTTAAAAATAAACAATAATAATTGAGATTTTAGATCCCATCCTTGAATGCTACATATTCACTTCCATGTGCTATAACTCTTTTTAGTCAACCAAATTTAATCTCACATCTCTCGAACTTAAATAATTTCCTTCCATTCCATTATCACTCTACCTTGTTAGCTGCCAACTACGAGCGGTTGAAGTCTCGTGTCGACGAAAAAGATAACGAGTTTTTTTTTTAATAAATACAAAATTCTAATAATATATAACGTTTTCAGTTAAGTTGAAAAAATTAAAATTATTATCTATTGTTTAGCATTATATGATGTTTTCAATTAATAATATATAAAGTTCTTCAACACGTTACCTATTTATCTCGAAAGATGTTTTGTCTTTATTCATGTATTTGAAAAAAAAATTCAAAGAAATCACTCAATATAAAATATTTTGAAATTTTTTTGATTGAAATTGTGAAGAAAAAAAAAAAACTTTGGTATAAATAGTAATTTTTAATTATTTTTTAGATTTTTTTAATTATCATATTTTTATGATTACTCTCATTCATATTCATACGTGTCTCTGTTCATTTATGTATCTATTATCTGTATGTCGTCTCTGTTCATTTATGTATCTATTTTTTTACTTGAGGGTAGAAATAAGAAACTATAAGCTATTTTCAAAACAAAAATATGTTTGAGAGAAAAGCCCAAAGAGAACAATATCTGGTGGCCGTGGATCTGGGTCGTTACAAATGGTATCAGAGCCAAACACCAGACAATGTACCAGCCTTCTCACTGTTCCCTCAAGGGGTAGAGACGAGGCGGTGTGCGAACGCTGGGCCCCAAAGGGACTGTTCCCTCAAGGGGGTAGAGACGAGGCGGTGTGCGAACACTGGGCCCCAAAGGGGTAGATTTGGGGGCGGTCCCACATCGAATGGAGGAAGGAAAGAGTGCCAGCGAGAACGCTGGGCCCCGAAGGGAAGTGGATTGTGATGTCCCACATTGGTTGGGGAGTAGAACAAATCACCATTTATAAGCGTGTGAAAACCTTCTCCCCTCAAAGGGAAAACCAAAAAAGACAATATCTGCTGGCAGTCGATCTATGTCGCTACAAATGGTATCAATAATTTAGCCAAAGGAAAAAAAAAACTAAAATGCGAAAAAGGATGAATCAGCAGCCACCGTGGGCCGGTTGTACAAGGTGGAGGAAGTGGAAGAAGCATCCTGATGAGGCGGTGGCGGTGGCGGTGGCTGTACGTCAATGGAAACCATATTACCTTGTCTATATTTGCATCTCAGTATCTCAGCTCTAACTGCAGTGAGCGTAGCTTGCAACGCTTGGACTTGGTGTTGTAGACATGAAATGGCGCCCATGCAGCCATACACAGGATCTCTCAGCCTCACATTAGCTTCATAAATTAGACTGTTCGCAGTATTATCTCTTTCATTTTTCGGAACTTCCTGAAAAAATATTCTATTACGGTCTTTAAACTTTCAATTTTGTATCGATAAATTCTTATCGTTACCATGAGCATCTTCGAGACATTACGAGCGCCGAAGACCTTGTGAACCGAGGCGAACTTGTGAGGCTCGTGAGGGGAGAAATATGGAGCGAAGGGGCATTGTTGACCACATCTTCTTCTTAGGAGCTTGCAGGCTGCGCATGGAGTAATGGTGTTAAGAGTCCTAGGAGGACCGTGCAGCGTGTGTCGTGGAGGAATATTTGATGATACCGCTCGCTTTCTCTTCTTCCCTAACTCCTCTAATCTATCTCCATCTGCACTATCACGTGTACAGCAAATTTGAACATAATTCAATATCAATTTTATAAGTCATTATTTCTATGGTATTTTAAAGAAAAGTGAGCATAAAGTTTGAATCAACCGATTGAATAGTCCCGTTCAAATTGTAGTATAATATTTCGAAGAACAAAAAGAAATCGTCGACCAAATTATTCGATCTCGAGAGATATAGAGATGGATTTTTTACCTTTCTTTGGACATTCAGCTGGCATGCTCTGATCTTCAAGTTAACCAAGAAGAAGCTAAGCAGAGAGAGAAGAAGAAAGAAGGAGAAAGAGAAAGAAGTGAAGCTCAAGTAGATTTTAATGGTGAAATTATGAACTGGGTCATGTCCATTCGTGGTGTACGAGGATTCCACGACAGATCTACAAACAAAAAGACCAAGAATTATACATATATAAGTAAACGGGATTTTGGGAATCACCTCATTTCATCTAAATTTGGACTTAATGAAATAAAATTAGTGCAAATTGTTATTTATCTGTGAAATTAGTGCTCGATTTCACCCAAATTTGGACTTAATCAAATGAAATTAGTGGAAATTGTTGTTTATCTATGAAATTAGTGCTCGAATTTGATGGTCAAATAAGAATTTTGGGATATATATAGTTTAGGATAAGGGCGATGGGAATAAAACAGGAGGTGGCATTATTATATTAGAGAATTTTGACAACACTGCCGTATCCAAATCCACAATTATCCCAATTCTTGGCGAACACACGGGGCACGGATTGTCCGGTGGATTCGTTACGACTCCACGAGCTTCTCCTTCACAAAAGAAAAAGGGCCAAAACCCTCTCCAACAAACAGCGTGTTTTTGGGGCTTTCAGGCTCTCGAGCTCTCGCCCCCTTCATCGTACACAATGGACTGCACTTACAGCAATTTCAGAACCTCCACTGCACCTTTTTCATGGACACCCACTTCCACTTCCACTTCGAAGCTCAAATTTCGGGTACCCTTTTCCCCCTTCTTTGCACCCCCTCCC